TGTTAAGATGAGCGGAGCAAAGTTCATCTCCGCAGCCTCTCACCCAACAAAAATCTTTCCCAGGAAAAAAAAATGATTCACTGTCTTTCCGCCCCTGCTAACAAGCTAGCCTGCGAGTGACTGATCAATTTCCAATGCGAGTCCTCTGACAGTCGCCTTCTTCTTCATGGTGGCATGATTTCCAATTTGGCAGGAAGCACTCGAGCTGCTGTGGCACCGACTGCAGAGACACTTTAACTGGTTCAAGGCATGTCTGGAGGATTATTCAGATTGATTTTTTTTTTTCTTCTCCTGCACAGACTGAGGAGGAATAGAGCAAGAAAAAGGGGGAGGAAGGTGAGATGAGCTGAGAGGGAGGGCTTGTCTGCTGGGACTCCCATGATGCCTCTGTGTTTCCTCGTAAACACACCGCTAACAGCTAGGTGAGGCAGCAGCTATAAATAGCTCTTTCTGTGCACACCACACCCACCCACCATGCTGCAAACACACACGTCCATGCATTAATGTATGCAGAGGCACATGCATGCAGGCAGCAGCACTCATACATAAACAAACACAGATACACAGTCGCTACAACGCTGACATGCTTTTCCCTTCATCTTCTTCTCCCTCCCCCCCCTCTGGATGTCTCTCCTTTTCTCTCCCTCCATCTTCTCTTGGCAGCCCTGCTCTTCTCCTACTTATCATATGCTCTGGAGCAGATGGTGGATATGATAATTACCAAACAGGCTAAACACAGTAAGCAAAAGAAAAATCCTCAGCGTGCCCATCACATTCTCTCTCTCTCTCTCCCTCTAACATGTGATTTTACCGCCTCTGACAGTCTGACAACTCTATCCAGGAGAGAAATCTCACACGTCGTTTCCGCATTTTCTTGCAAGTAATGAAAAAGTCCGAGCATAAGATAAAGAAAATTATCCCTCCGTAATCACAGCTGCAGAATCGTTCTGCCCAGAGCATCCAAACCAATTCCAGCCCCCCTTTTTCCTTTCCATCCTCCCTCCTCTATCCTCATCTGCTCCTTTCCTCTGTTTCCCCTACTGTAAAAAAAAAAAAAAAAAATGCCCTATTTTTGTCACGCCATTGCAGCAACACCAAGAGGGTTAAAGGTATTACAGATAACAGTGGTAAACAGGTGCAAACTGCAGGCATATCTCTAGGGATTAGTGTAGGTATTCTAATCCAGCCCACACTATCTGGGGTCATCATTACTAAATCATGATGTTCCACAAATGATTTCACTTTAATTCATTTGCTGTTGATGTTTAACTAAACTGTCAGGCTGAATGAAGAAAACATTATCCGATGTGTTGTCTAAAATGACCTCAATGGAATGAAATGAGCAACAAATAAAAACCTTTAAAACAGCAATACTTCTTGTAATTATTATAGTGTGTTTTGTTGTTGTTGTTGTTGTTGTTTGGAACAATGCTGGAAGAAAATGTGATCCTATCATCTCAAATATGATGTTCATGGTGGCTTTTTTAGTCTGACAGTGAGGTGAAGACATTTGATGTTTGGCCCTACAAAACAAGCTTTACTTGGTTCATGGGAAACTGTGATTGTTTTTAACCCATACAGTATATATAATATAATAGATTAAGATAATAATTACAGACAGATTAAACCTGTGAAAATAAACGTCAGTGGCAGCAAAACAGCTGAAACTTAAGTCATAAAACAAAGATGTGCCCTAGAAGAAGGTTTTCAGCATGCATACAGAAGCAAAAGCTCCAGACCCTGAGAAAGTGTACACAAACTCTTTGAATATATAGTTATCTCCAAGGTATTGTCTCATTATTAAAACGGTAAAAAGATGAAGACAAATGACAAAACAATGCCCCAGGCTCTCTAAGGACACTTATGATGCTTAGTTAACCACGCCTCATGGGGAACATCGACAGAGGAAATGTGACGACTCTTTTGGAGAGGACACAACAGCCATCTCTAAAGACTTCCACAAAAACAGTAAAGGCAGAGCGCTTCACATGTAGCACCGCTTCTGTGTACAAAAAAACACTCCTTTCTTACCAGTATTTTTTTCCATCTTTCAGGTGGATTAAAGCAGCTGTGTGACCTTAGCACCCCCGCCTCAGCTGATGGAGTACAAAGCTGTCTGCAAGCTTAAGATGGGAAACGCTCTGTGTCATTATTGCAACATAAATAATGGCTCATGTCAGCCTGGAGGTGTGAATCTGCCCACAAACACATTATTCACACCTGCCTCTCTTTTTAAATCTCTAAAATATTTTCCTTCCCTTTTCAAGAGTCTCTCTATCTCCTCCCGTGATGCCTTGTGCCTCCTTAATCTTCTCTCCTGGAGCCGTGTAACCATTAATGAAGCTATATTTCATAATTAAGGACAAAATAAAGCCTTGTCTTCTCTCTCATCTCTTCTGCTCTCTATTTTTAATGAAGCTCTCATGCAGAGAAACTCAACGTCTGCCGAAGAGAAAGATGAGATTTTTTTAATTGCTTTTATATGGTTATATTCAAAGTGACACTGGTTATGGTTGAGCAGACTTAAAATAATCGCCCACCAAGTGCTACAAAGATAACGCTCATATCTGTAACCTTCAGGTGAGGCTCTACCTGCCGTCTTATCCTCACCTCCTCCTCCTGCATCCTTGCCTCTGCTCCTCATCCCTTAATTCGTCCTCTCTCCTCTTCTAACTCTTTCTTCTTTTGACCCCAAACCACCCCCCCATAGCTATATTTCACAATCGCAGCAGAAAGATGACTTCTTTGTGTCAGTCCCAGGGTGCGATCATGTCCCCACTCCCCCCCCCCCCACATGAAACGCTCATCTTTGAGTACACATGAGAAATGGTTGCGGCGTGTGGGTGCGCGGTCCCTCGGCGCTTGTTTTGCCAAAGGCTGCGTGGCCTATAAATCTATTGCTGTAACTCTCTCGATTCACAAACATGCATCCATCTTCATGGACACACACATACACATACTGCGTGTGCACACTGCAGCACCTGACTATATTCTCGTTGGAGTGTTTACGACAGGGAGGCAGCCGAGCACATGGCCACACACACGAGGAATATAACCATCACTCCTTTGTGAATGTGTGCGCGAGCTTAAATGTGTAAATGGCAGAGAAGAACTATTTACACCCACACAGAGAAATCAATTATCTAAAAAGAAACAGTGCAGTGCTGTGCTTACTGGGGAGCATATGCATAATGCACCATCATTACCTTTAACTTCCTCTCATAGTGTTTTCTTCATGTAAAGTTGGATGATAAATGGGACTGCAGAAAGTTAACTTAGTTTGGGAGGGAAAAGAGGGAACTCTGCAGAGATACAAATGATCATCAAAGAGGATTTGACAGCGTTGCAAAAGGCTGAGGAGATCTGTAATTGCTTTATACAAACAAAACAACAAGTCTTTAAGAGCTGAATCCACAGATCATTAAATCGCCGAGATGATGCATGAGAAATTAATGACAACAACTTTGTAAACTGATGCTCGTTTAATCTAGTTTTTAAGCACAAATCCCAATAATACCTGTGCACATTGTCTGCTTTTCCCCTTTTTACAGAATGTGTATGTGAACTAAACACCCAATGCAATTACGTATTGACCTACATAACTACATTGATAACAGTTTCATTTACAGTCACTTCCTGTGAAAAATGTACATTTCACAGCTTCTATTTACTAGATTCTTTATAAGGCCTCTGTTCTTCGTTTACCCTATATTTGGCTGAATATCTTTGAGTTCTGGACTTATGTAGGACAAGCAGACTTCATGTCACTGTTTTCAAAGGAAGTTGTGTTTTTACAGTTTGCAAACTGTGCAGTTAAGAGTTGATTTCACGACGGGCCATGTCCACTGAAACCACAGACCAAGTGTTCAGTTATGTTTTGTTCCTAGTTATTCATTTGCAGAAAAATCTAAATGTTGTCAAGTTTGTCAGTTTATGTGATGAACATTCATTTTTTTCAGTGATCCAAAGATGCACTTTTCAACACAGGCCAGATATAAGAGGGTGCTCAGGACTTCATATTTCTACACAGACTACATCTTCACTTATCCTATGGCCTCTACTGACCCAGACATACAGGTCTTACTTTATGTTAATCTCCCTTTAACTCACAGCATCATCACCTTAAACTCATTCTCATCTCCCTGTGCCCCCTGAATTTATGTTTCCGGTTACTTGTGAACTTTGATCTGTTATCTCATTTCGCCCTGGGGTTGATATCAAATCTTATTTTATCCACGCTCACGCAGACTCAAATGGCCTCGAAATCTTATTTCCTCTTCCCCCAGTGGCCTCTAACTGAGTTTGCCAGCCTACTAGCAGGAAGGAGAGGTTTTTTTTTCCAAAAACCTTACCCCTCAAACGAAGATGCACCAGAGCAAAATACTGAAAAAGGTAAAGGGAACTGAAATATGTACCTCACTGGCATGGATATAATGCTTAAGCTGTAATAGTAGTAATACTTTTTATTGCCTTTCAGGACACTCAACTTTAAAATAATCTTTTTAATTTCTCGTTAAATGCAACTAGTCTTAATTTTAATTTGTGTTTAATCAGCATTGAAAATAGTTCCAATGAACACCCATTATTCAAACCCAACTCAAGTCAAGTTCAAAACTTAAACTACAATAGTCGGAGTTTGGATTCAACCTTAAGTCTTGTACTTTTCAGATGCTCACTATGAGGCTCACGAAACTATAATTTACACAGTAGGAATTGGACTTAAAAGTGGCACTTCAAATCCTAAAAAAAAAAAAAAAAAAAAAAAAGCAGCCAACAATAAACAGTAGGTAACTAACGTTTCCTACACTCCCCCCAAACATTCATAAAAGCTTCAAGAAATCCCTCAGAAAGACAAACAATGTCAGAGTTTAGAACAAAAGGCAGACACTTGTCATTTTGCAAAGCCTGTTTGAGACATTGCAATCATCTGTGTAAGTACACCAGAGAGTAATTGGAGATGCACAGCTCCAGAGAAGCCAGTTTGATATGTTATCACTTACAGGCACGGTGGATGTCGCGCCCTCGGCCACATTTAGAGACGCTCCTTAAATCTTATTTCCCCCACGTCGGTTGAAGATAACTGGGTTTGTTGCTTCCAGGAAACACTTGGAGGGTTCCTGGAAAGACACAACAGGGTTTTACAATCCCCTTTACTTTCTTTGGAGATTATTTCATATTACACTAAAAGACTTGTTTGGTAGTCTGTTTTGAAATGTGAATTACTGCATCAGGGTTTTGGTTAGTAGCTGTAAAGTTGTTTCACTTCAGGGTAGAGCATTAGAGTGAATATTTCATCATTACATCCAGAAAATGTCACTTTTTCAGATCAGACTGAGTAAACAGCAACAAAAACACAAGCAGGGAAGTAAACGGTTGGTTAAACAGGGCTGTCTTTGTGGGTGCATGCCACTGAGTCCGCTGAGCAGAAAAGTTAGTTTCCTGCTTTGAATTGCAGCCACAGTGGACTGTTATTGTTGTTGGGGCCACTCAGCATAGTAATTAGTGAGGGGGAACCCTGAAGGACAAAGACCACCAGAGGGAATTAGAGAGAGAGGGAGAGAGAAAGTGCAGAAGAGCGAAGCCAGGAAAAAAAAAACTGCTTCCTGACGCTGCTGAACCTCATCACCTCCATAGAAATACATCGCTTAGAATAGATTCAAATAGCCCCAATTCAGGAAAATGAATAGAAAGTTCATCAAACTGCAATTTATGAAACACAGATAATAACCCCTGGACGCTTGTTACAACACTGAGCCTCAATAAACAGGACGAGTTCAGTTTTCAACTCAAGTTTAAGAGAGAGGAAAGATAGTGGATTGCAAAGTCCCTGATTGGAAGTTTTGGCCACTGCGTCATATAAGGATCATCATGACAACACGGCAACCTCTGACGCAATGCCAGCCCAACAAAACTAAACATTTGGCATCGAAATCTCAACCACTAGTACGAGGCGTGTCGTTATACAGGGCGAGCTTAACCAGAGTTCGTGCCTGCCTGATAATGCGCATCTTCCTAATCCTACATACATTAAAGTCAAATGAAATACAAAATTAAACGTCTTCATCTCCAATGATGATTTTCAACGGACTAAAGAAGAATGAACAAAATCAGTCAAGCTTTAACTCATAGTCATTATGTCTGATGCTGTTCTTCATTCATAAAATGTCTCTCCGGAATAAAAAAAAATACACACGCTTGATTACATAAAGTACTTTACTATTACTTTATCGTTTAGACTTTTGCGATAAAGAATATAATTAGTCTTCAGGGAAATAAAATGACTCTGCTAGTTATAAAGTTTAAAGGTGTCATCAAATCTATCTAACCAAATCCTTCTCCCCCCCCCCCATGGAGGACAGTTTGTGTTCAAAGTTTAGATACATGTACCAACAGATAGCTGGAAGTGTAGACAGTGAAGTTTTAGCTACTGTGTGTATTCTGTGAGTTTTGTTTCTATGTCGACCCCGTTCTTCTTCTTCTTCTTCTTCCCCTGGCTTTGTGTCGAGTCCAATAATGACCACATTGTTTTGGTGCCACCGGCATCACTGCTGGCTAAATGCTCAGCTTACACACACACACACACACACACACACACACACACACAGAGGCCTACAGAGCAGGCTTGTGTGTGTGTGTGTGTGTGTGTGTGTGTGTGTGTGTGTGTGTGTGTGTGTGTGTGTGTGTGTGTGTGTGTGTGTGTGTGTGTGTGTGTGTGTGTGTGTGTGTGTGTGTGGTAGAAGAGTAGTAAAACAGCAAAGCCAAAACTAGTTTGCAGTTTTAAAAAAGCCTGCTGATGTATTAGTGCCAATTTTTTTGCAGCCTGTCTATCTGTGTTTGTGTATTTCTGTGTGTGTGTGTATGTGTGTGTGTGCGAGAGAGCGGTCAAGAAAAGAGTTGGCCAAGGCAGTGGAAAAAGTGCGAGCCAGAGACGATGACGTTGGCAGAGAGGAGAAGAACAAACTACTTCCTGAAAATCAATTCAACCCTTTGACTGAACTCTCTCTCTCTCTCTCTCTCTCTCTCTCTCTTTTCTCTCACTGGACCCAACTGGAACCTCAGAACAGCTTTTTTACTGAATGCGGTTCATTTAAACTTTTGGTAAACTAATACAGAGAACAAGACTTCACTTTTGCTGTTGCACGTTTACAGCCAATAGAAACAGCATTAAATGGTTTGCCTCGTTTGGGTGATTCTCATATTTATTACAAAACAGTTTAAATAAATACAAACCACATCCTCGAACTGAAGGATTTTAAATTGAAAGTTTAACCGCTATTAAGTGAACTTGTCCAATAGAATTTCTTATATAGACTATGTATGCAATCCCTACTAGGATTTAGATGTCTGCATGCAAGGGCTGCTAACCATCAGCTGGTACACATCACCACTCTCTTCCAAATGTGCAAGTTGAAATGTAAGCAAATGCTCTGGATGTAAGGGGATAGTCTTTTATCTGCAGCTGCTAGCTTCACCTAAAAAGACCTGAGAAGTTGGTGGTCCCTCCCAGAGGTTAAAGGTCATCATGTTAGTAAGAGTTGGGGCGTCAACAAGGATGGAGGCATAGCAATAACTACTGACTACAGATCATGTTCTGATAGTTTTTCTTCTCAGGAATATGCAATGGGTCAGGACGAGCAGGAGGAATTTTTTTCATAAATAAATTGAATTCTTACATTGTTGTCTGCTGAACTACAAGGCATAATAGAGTTTTATTTTACAGAATCATCAGTTTCCCTAAAAAGATGAAGATAAAAAAAAAAAAAAAAAGCCCTGAAGGATTTCTACTGATGACAAATAAAGAAAACATCCTTACAAAATCTTGACAAAGTGAAACACTCAGGGTGAATTCTGTGGCTTACTTTCCCTCTGAGCTGCCGTACTGCAAGGACACACACACACACACACACACACACACACACACACACGCACACGCACACGCACACAAACAACACAATGACACTAATAAATATAACGCGCTTGTGCTTCTCATGCTGCTGTAATCACACACGCAAAGCAGATGCTACCGCCGCCGCTTACGACTCGATTCTGCTCAGCCCTGCAGCAGCAGAGTCAGAAGACGCACAACTGGAACAACACACACCAACGCACACACATACTGGGGTCAGGTAATTAACAGTCTGTAGATCTAAGCTAGCTTTAATCTAATCAAACCATCCAGCCTCTATTTCACCCCCTGGGTTTGCACATATTTAGCACACACACACATGCTCACGTTTCCCTTGTATCGTTTGCCCTCTTTACTCTTTACCTCCCACACTCCACTCATCTCAATTAACCACAGAGTTGCATTTTTAAAACAAATTTATCATTTTTATTGAAGTGATGATCTATTTTTTTGTTTGTTTATTTTATTGAGTAATCCAATCACATTATCACTCCAGTCACTTCCAGGCTTTATTATTCAGGACATTCAGGATGTGGACATTAAATGTTCATGTTAAGCTTGTAATAAAATAATGGTGGATATTATAATCTCATACTGAACCAGTTGCACCCACACACATTTTCTTTTACACTTCATAACTTAAGTTCATAAAAAAAAAAGATAAGGCTAAAGTTCAACTAATTTTAATTTAAGTTATTTTTGGGGCCATTTTTGCCTTTATTGATTGGACAGCTGATGAGACACAGGACGAGAGAGTGGGAGGATGACATGCAGCGATTGGCCGAGGTCGGATTAAAACTCACGGCCCCTGTAACGAGGACTATGGCCTCTGTACATGGAGGTCACACTCCAACCACCGAGCCAAACTTGGACTAACTGTTACTTGATACTTTCAGCTAATGACGAGCCCCAAATTGTAAAAAAAGAAAGAATTCTTGAGGCCAGAATGATTATTAACAGAAGTAACTTACAGGTATCCAAATGTCCATGTGTGCAGACACCAGTATTACAGATCAAATTCACATATTACTGAGAAACAGAAACGATGGAGCTGATTGTAACGGAAAGGTTTTCATAGTATGTCACAGCTTCATCAGAAAAACTGCGATGTACTTCACATTTGAAGTTCAGCTGCATCAGAGTCGCCGTTTGGTTAAATTTGATAACAGGCCTAAGTGCAAACATGACCTTTTTTTAAATGCAAGAAGGTTGAAACAGAGTCTTCAAAGGGTTCAAATGAGTTTCCTCTTAATGCAGTCAGTTAATGTTTTTCCACCAGAAGACAAATCTGATTAATTAGAGCTCAGTGTGATGTAAACTCTTACTCATGATGCCATCATGATGCTACACAATGAAACAGGCCAATTACATTTCAGGGTTCTGCATCTTAAAGACCAAAACAGGGACTCTGATGCAAAAAAAAAGCATTCTGCCATGGGTTTTGTCATCTCTTATGGAGTCTTACAACTTCCACCTCTGAAACAAGCCAGCTGTTTTGTCTGCCCTAAGGTAATTAAGAAGGGTGCCAGAACAAAAAGCAAAAGGTTGTGCGACTCATGAAGGCATGCAAACCTACCAGCCCATCACTTTGTAATGCTGGGTTTATTCAGAGTAGCAGCATTACTACTGTTTTACACATGCACTCCAACCTTTAAGCTTTCAAAAACATTTTCATTTTCAGGATGTGCAGTATGTGTGAAAGGATTTCAATTTTCCTTTTCATTCACTATGGAATAAGATAATAAAACGAATTATTTTTGGATAGTGAGTGAGTTTTGTTAGATATACTGTACGTGAGGAGGATTTCAAACAAGAGACGCATCGATTGATTGTGCTAATCAGGGTGATACCAATGTTTAAAAGCACAATATTGGCCGATTCACTACTTCTTTCGGTGCAAGATTCCCACATTGCCAACATTTTTCTCTCATGTTTGACCATGACAAAAAGAGCAGCCCAACAGGTGACTTCCTCAGTCAGATTTAAAAAAAAAAAAAAAACTCTTCTCTCCATCAGAAGTTAGCTGTTAAAATCTTGCCAGCATAAAATTGACACGACAAACAACGGATAAACATCGGCTGCTGATATCAGTTCATGCCTTATTATTTGCAGATTTCTGTCAACAGGACCGACATTGACCATTACCTTTTTTTAATTCCAGTGGTACCATGGTTTATTCATCTGTAAAGCTATATAGTGCGCATGCAAGATTGTGCCTCTTTTCTTAGAGTAGAGAGAGAGAGAGAGAGAGAGACAGAGAGAGAGAGAGAGAGAGAGAGAGAGAGCAGTGTGGATGGAGCGAGGAAGATGAAAAAAGGGAAAACATCTCTGTGACTTGGTTAAGCCCTCAGGAGACTGAACTGAATAACAAAGCAAAAACCCATCCACTCTGAAACACACACTCAGTGTCCTACTAGGAGTAAAACAGGGACAAGTGGCTTCTTCTTCGCTCTCGGACAAATTTTCCGGCTCATTGGCTCCTTTTAGAAACGACAGGGAGCAGCAGTTACCAGAGTCAGCCCAAAGCTAGACAGACAGCGAGCCCTCATAAACTCATAAAAGCCAAATTATCGTCCTATTTCTTTTGGCTTGTGTCCATTAGTGCCTCGTATAACCTGGTATAGTGTTCCTGACGTTCCCCCGTATGTCAGGCAGGTTTCATTTTTCCCAGCATCTCTTTAATAAGTTCTGATTTTGTGCAGTAGCTCCGTATCACCAGGAGTCATTTAGCACTTCCCACACATGGGACTCAAAGTCAGTAATAGCTTTTAAAAAAAAAATTAAAAAAAAAGAAGGCAATTTGTGGATCTGAGGTTCTTTGGGACAACGTGGCTAAAAGGCATTTGCATGGGCTGATATGTGACTGCTGCCATCTGTTTCACTAATGCTACTTGCCATATCAGCTTACTCGTCTAAGATGATTGCTGCTTTAGTAACACGGCAAAAGCACTATACCAGCATAGCTTCAGCCTGCAGAGGATTTTTAAACTTCTAAATGCTGTTCAGATTGATATAGGCTACACCTCTCCTCTCTGATGACCATGGATAACGTTATGTTCATCGATGTTTGGTAAGCCTGCAGATATATTCCAAATGTGTATATAAAACAATTACTTAGAGTTCCCTAACATAACCTGAAGAAGGACAAAGCCTGAGTCCAAAATGAAGCACCTGTCACTTGCCTAATGCAGGTAAAAATCCATTTTAGCGAGAAAAATAAATGAGGTCAGGCGCCATTGGTCAGTACATAACAAACTGTTAGTTGATGGCCACATTTCCTTTTCAATAATCATGTTACACTACTTCAAAGTCACTCATGCTATCTACCCTCTCCATTTAGTCCAGCTCATCAAACAACCTGTTTTGTCTTCTTGTCTAATGTGACAACAAAATATCAAGTGAAACATTTCAAACTGGAGAAATGTTATTTGAGCATGTTTATGAAACCTACTGCTGATGAATACTGTCATCATTGGGGGGCAGCTGTGGCTCAGTGGCAGGGTTGGTCGCCCCCCCCCCCCCCCCTAGCTCCTGCAGCCACGCGTCGCTCCAGCAACCTGTGAACGTGTATTAACGGAGTTAGATTTCTGAGGATTGTGCACAACAAATGCTTTCAAACCACCGCAGGAGTGAGATTTGAAGAGAAGTAGGATGAGCAGTTCAAAGTTGTTTTGAGACGCAATAAAATAAGTTGGAGAATAAATTACAATTCATATTTTAATGTACAAACAAACATAATATGAACATAAACAAACCTTTTAAGAATAGGGTATGATATATCATATATGATATCAGAATTTGCAGACATATCTTGCACACTTGTTTGGAAAGATGTCAGGTTACAATGAGGCACATAGACACAGACTTTGGTATTCTTTGCAGGGTATTAGTTTTGTGTGTGTGTGTGTGTGTGTGTGTGTGTGTGTGTGTGTGTGTCACTATGCAACATCATGGCTTTATAAGGAGAGGAGACAGTTTTATCTCTGTCAGTCCTGAGAGCAGATACAGCAGCAGAGAAGTCTCAACAATAAACTTCTCTGTCTGGAGGACAAACACACACAGAGAACGTCAGCTTTCTTCACTCTTGTCGTCACAGTGAGGGGTTTTGACGCAGTTTATACAGACGAGATAGAACGTGCTAATTAGAGAGCTTAAGAGCTGCAGATAGGAAGATTTTGACAGCGTTTTGACAGATCCAGGCTACCTCTTATCCCCTGTTTTCAGTCTGAATATCTAGCAATGCGCCTAACAATCAGATATGAGAGAGGTATCAAATGTGTGCATCCTAATCATCAATCAAACAAAGCCTTGCAGCATGTACAGTTATATGAAATGCATTTTTCCCGGTGCAGCAGAGACCCTGTCCTCTGCCTGTTTATTGATGCTTCACTTTGTTCGGGTTGAAACTGTCGTGGCAACCCCACAAAATGATTTACCGCAATATAAACAACGCAGCCACGGCGCGTGAGGCAACCGCCACAACTTCATGTTCAGGCGGAAACTATGGCAACTGTTCTGGCTGTGACTTTGGATGGAACTTCACCACTTTTGTCTTTTTAGCTAAATAAAAAAAAAAGGAGAATCGCCTCTTTTTGATGATGCAATTTTGAAAAAGTATGATTGTGGCGTGCCAGTTGCCGAGCCCTGACTCACAAACAAATTTGCTTATGAACAAAACAAGGGGGTGGTGCGATAACACAGCATAAGAGCCAGCCCTAAATCAACTCAGGGGATATTCCGCCGACAGCTTTAAGACACCGGTCGTTTCTGGTTGGGGCGCTGGTGTGTTTCCCCCCCCAGCTAATAACAGCGCGCAGCTGAGTTTCGGGGGGCGATGAGCAAAGGAGGAGGGGCCCAGTTTGAATGTTGTGTGCGACTGACTCTACCTTTAATCGTCCGACAACTCCTAGTTTTTTTTTTTTTTTATGTAGACACACAATAGAGAGAAAAAGAGGGAAAACGCTTGAAGGCTACTTGCTCTTTTTCATCCCATTTCTCTCCACACGCCGCTTCCACGCCAGCTTTATGACATCTGTCACCACAAACTAACCGTCCCTGAACAAGCGGATCCTCGGAGACTGAGAGGAGAGAGATGGGAGCTCGGTTAACGTTGCACCGTCAGCACACAATGGCGTGCTCTAAAGAGTACCGGGTTCACACACACACACACACACAGACACAGACACACAGCAGAGATCAGAGCTGCAGAGCTGTCACCGGGGTCAAGTCGGGAGAAGTGCAATATCTTGACAGAACTGAAGTGTTCACTGACACAGAAACACAACTCAGTGCCTCACAGTCTGTCCCTGTTGTTGTTTTTTTTAACGACAGTGTGTTAGTGTGTGTCCTTCCTTACTTCTTTAATACCATTTGCACGATCATAAGTCTTTGTCTTACCTTTTGCCCACATTATTTTGAAGTAGAAAATCAACAATAATGTTATGTATTTAGTCCTGTTCTATCCTTAGAAGACAGAACTATAACAGTGATCTTGCCTCCATGCAGTGTTTATAATATATTGCAAACTACATATAAAATTGCCTTAAGATGATTCAAAAAGGTTTTTTCAGTTTCTAATGATGACTTCATTTTCATTGAAATTCTTGCATTTAAAATGGTAACTTTGCAATCAAACATACAAAAAAAAAAACATCCAGGTATGCTCTCTGGAGAATAACAGGGGTTTCACTCAAACCTCTGGTTGTCCTGCAAATGCAGTCAAATTCCATATGACTTGTAAAATAATGTAAACACTAAAAGGGTTTAATAAGCTTGAGCAACCTGCATGTTATAGAGCATGCGCTCACCTTATGATGTCACCAGGTGCTGGGAAACTGCTGCTTCTCCCTGTACAATGGCACAGCTGTAAAAAAAAATGCAGAAATCTTTAATTCCACATGCAGTGTTAACATTTTTATAACAATTTACCCGATCTCCATTTGAGTGTGGAAAACTGCTTGACAAGTCATTGAGATGTACTTTGTGTATCTTCTCTGATGGTGAACATTCTGCATTATCAAACAGGTGTTACTAATCAACATGAATTAAACATACTGTATTAAATACACTGAGCTTTCATACCTGAGCACAGCTAATAGTGTGAGACTATAGTCATATACATTGTCTCATACTGTTAAAAACAGCAAAAATATACATGTAAATGTATAAACAAGCTCTACTTTGCCTGGAAACCACATAAACAAGCTTACAATGGTTTGCATAGGTTAATTGAATCTATGTCACTTCTCAAACAACTATAGGGACCTTTTATTTTTGGCATAAGGTGCTTTTACTTTGAAAATGAATGTACATTTTGCTATTGATACAAATGCACTTAAGTGACATTCTAAGAGATTTTTTATTTATTTATTTTTATTTTATTTTATTTTTTAAACACCTGTTACTGGTGGTAAACTCACCTTGTATTGGAACAAACTCTGTCTGTGTTCATTTTAATCTCTTCTTTTTAATTTAGAAGGACTTTAAAGTAGTTTCACGCTCAATTATTGACCTACCTGGCAGACCAGCGTTTGACGAGCTGCGGACTAAACCATTTGCTTCTCATTGAGGGGGGTGCGTGGAAGTTATGGAATCTTCCAATATTTTAATTGGTATTTTTTTTTTTTTTTTAACGAGTTATATCTAGAAAGGTTAACTTAAAGCAGAAAGTACTGTTGTTGCGATGCGTCAGAAAAGGCATTAAAAAAAGTCCCGTGTTTCTCCTTTTGATGTATTCACCTGTAATTGTTCTTAGACGCTTATCTTGATCTATTGACGCACCTGGTACATGCCGTCAATAATAGCTAGTTGGTGTTGATATGGATAGTTCTGCTTTTATTTGGTTTTTAATATGTCCCTGTAGTTTTGGAAAAGACAATTAAATTCATTGACGCCCTGATCTTTTGTTTTTTACATCGTTGAAATTACAAATGTGTTCAGATTCATGTTGCATCTTTCTCTCTTGTTGTTTAAACCATGCTTTTTTTTTTTCTTTTTTTTTTTAAAGTAGGAGGATGCTGCTCTGCACTTCTTGAAGTCTCAACAATCTGTGTGTGTGTGCATGTCAAGGCTCAGCAAGCAGTGTGTGGGAGGACGGAGAGACCCCACACAGTAGCTGCCTCAAACTCACAGCTTTAAGCATAATGGATATTGGATTAGGCATCCAAGTGCCTCTTGGTAAACTAAACACCCACCACGGCCTGAACCACTCTGAGACTCCTGAGAGCTTTTGCAAAGTTTGTGAGAGGTTTAAAAAAATATATGTATTCATCTGTCTATCTAAAGTTGCAGATTTATTTTGCCTTACTTACTTTATCAAGTTTAACCTAACATGGCTTTTTAGAGCTTCCAATGGCTCTGTTAACTCTTATTAAGTAATGTTTCCCAATATTTTGAGTCTATAGCTGTATGTTAAGACTAACTAGTGACAATGTCAGTGTTTTAACCATATATATGTAGTTCTATTATAAGCAAATAAGTCTTGTGTCAAGTACCAGCCTACACACAAGACAGTCATGTCAGACTGATCTGAGGTCACCTATGAAATCAGAGCATTAATGCTCGCTTCATCATGGAGATTAAATGTTTAACAGACAAAAACAATCAAATACAGAGCATTTTAAAAGCTGTTAAAAAAAAAATACACGCCCCAGAAATTATGATCAGATATCAACTGAGACAGGAATGAGCAGTCTTACAAAGCACAATTTCTCTTCATTAAAATAATTGATGACACTTCTTACTTTGGACTCGCAAATGCTTCTCCAAAAAGACAGGAAGCGCAAATTTCTAAATGGAAAAACAAGTTGGAAGATGATCCAGTTTTTGTGTTAATTTTGTCTGATCAGTTGGTAAGGACTGAGTGCACGTTAAAGTCTGATTTTTATCATCCAGAAGGTGGAGGGAAATAGCAAGAAAAAACATACAACAGTGAGCTTAAGTGCTGTTTTTAATGGTGTTTGATACTGTGATTATTGGAATACAACAAAACATTAAATGCAATAACTCCAATATAAATATGATTTCAATATCAACATGATCACACATTGTACTTTAAAATATTCTTTATTCATATTTGAAAAGGTAAACAAATGGTCTAAATGTGATGCAGAGCTGTTGTTGTGTTACACTACACAAACACACCCACACACACACACAAACACACACACACACACACACACACACACACAATAAATGAGCACAGGAAACGTTTTTGGGACCTGACTCGAGCGCATTTTTATTGAACGTTTATAACTGTTAAAAACATGTATAAAATTGGTCCTGTTTCAGAAACAAGGCACGCATAGTCATGTCATTGTTCAGTGTTCATGTCATTATTAGCGTTATCATTTATCAACATCGTCATCAGCATCATCAGCACGATCCATCTCAGTATTTGTCTAATAGTAGTATCAAGCATTCCCTAATATAAAAACACGTTCCAATAGTTTTCTTCATTTTTTTTTTTTTTCACAGGAGGTTAAATTTTTATTCCGAGCAGCAAGACAATATTCATGCAAAGACGGGAGTGGAGGAGAAGATGCGAGCTGACTTGGACTGACGGGCTGACGGGTCATTTAATAGTAGGTCTCCCGTTCCACCCATCCTGGATGCACAACGAGAGAAAACAAACAAACAAACAAACAAACAGTATTTAGAGGCGTCCTCTTGTGCAGTATGATATTTGACTTTTTTTTTATTTGAAAAGCACGCCAAAGAGACAGAAGTATAACAGGGATTTAAAAAGAGAAAGGAAAGGAGAAAAACAGGAGAGACACGGACAGCAGAGGTGGAGAACGAGGCAGAAAAACAAAGAGCAGAAGGAAAAGATAACACAAGCACGGATTGTGGACTCACCTCCTGGGCTGCGTCTGAGGATCAGCTTACGGATTTCATCATAGATAAAGATGAGCAGGGAGTAAGGTAAGGCGCAGAACCACCAGTTGGCCCTGGAAAACACACAAAAAGAGATGAGAAACCCATACTGTGCCCTCAGGCTTTGCTGAGCTACATGAGCTAGGTGGAGTTAGCATGATTACAGAGTCAACTAGATAAGTTTGAGGCTTTAGTCAAATCTTTAGGCGTTGCTTTATCTGCATTATTGTACACAGAGCAATGCTTAAGAGAGAGAATAGAAGGCTCCACTTTGTAGTATTCAGACACTAAACTTTTGTAGGGGGCTAATTATCGCAGTGATTTATTCATCAATGATGGTTTACTCACTTGAGAGGGTACATTCTGAGGGCGACATCCATGCCCGGGCAGTAAGAGAGGAAGGCAGCGAGGGCGGTCTCCTCAAACAGTCCAAAGATCAGGATCTTGTTTCTGAGAACACACAAGGAAGAAATCAATAGAAAATTAGACTCAAGCAAACTTATTTGAATGGCTGAAAAGGTACATCCAAAATGCCAAACTAATCCAGAGCTGGATTGTCCTGGAAAGAAACACAAACTGGGTTTTGGTGTGCTTACTTCATGCCCTGCTGGAAGACAGAGTTCCTTCTGGTCTTACAGATGATCAGATCGGCCCACTGCACGATGACGATGCTGGCAAAGAAGGCCGTGTGGCAGGTGAACTCTACGATCTTCCTCTGCTCGTACGTCTGAAGAGAAACAACAACAACGGAGGATTTCTATCAGGTTCTAACTGCTGAGTGATACGCTTTGTTTGCTGCCTAGCGCGTGAACTGTCACTGACCCACTGTTGTCCATAGCTGTCCTCCAGATCATTGATGTGCTTATTATCCCAGTTCACTCTGATGCCGATCAGGGTGGAGGGCAGGAAGCCGTTTTCAGCCAAGATCACAAAGTAGGTGAAGAAACCTGCCAGCGCCTGGATCATACCTGCAGGAGGGACGAGAGCTCAGAACTCTTGACAGCACGCCCCACCGAAAGGATTCTGACTTTGTGTCATCTTTTAAGAAATGCCTTAAATGACTTTGCCTTTTAAACAGGACACTGCTGTACAGCTAACTATTCACTATTCACCAGGAATCAGTACATGATTAAAGGGGCACACTGACACTTTGGTCTTAAGATTACTTAGGCAGCCTTTTGTGGAAATTGGAGGAATAATTGATTTAATAAATAAATAATGAGATTAGGTTGTCTTCTGAGGAATTATATGCTTACTGAAAATAAAAGGATTTAGAGGTAAGTGATTATGGAAGTTCTTATGGGATAATCAAAACCATAAAGATCCAAATTGAGACCTTATATTTTTGGAAAGTTGCAGATAGAAACCTTACAGGAGCACTGGAGTCCAAGTGTTTTGTATCTTATTTTGTCATATCGTGCTGTGTTGTATTGTATCGTAACGCATCATGTAGTGTCGTATCATATCTTGTATTGTCGTGCCGTCTTGTGTCGCATCATGTCATATACTAGAGGACCGTATCATATCATAAATTCTGTTGCCGGTTAAGATATTCTATGAACCCTTAATCAAAACCTCAAAAGTAAAGGCTTTTCTTTTAGTGACATTTTCTAATTTAAAAGGTATAAACTATATCCTCCATTAAGAAACACACATTTGAATGGAAAAGTCAACAGAGCTGCCTTTTCAACAAATTATCCGTTTGCAACTTTGAGGAAAATGAATACAGCCAGATGTGTTGCTTGTGCTTTGCTCTTATAAGGTAGTTCAGGAAGTCCTGAAGGGTCAGGTTATTCCTGGCTTCATTACCCGAGAGGGAAAAATCAAAAGCCAGAGGCACCACTCCGTCGTCACTCCAACACACACACACACAACTACTGCTGTTCTCTATCAGTATGAGCCTATTTCTGGTGCATGCCTCTCTTCCAGTTATCTTGGACCACCCAGATACAGAGCTGCCCCCTTCAGAAAGATCTAACAAAGGAGACGTGAATGGCCTTTTTCTGGCTCAGCTATAGAAGTAAAAGTCTCTGTTTACCGATCTGTCCGTAGGCTATACTGATGAGCCTCTCGTTCACCAGCTTGTCTGTTTTGGGGTTTCTGGGCTGTCTCTTCATGATGTCGCTTTCAGCTGCTTCGTAAGCCAGGGAGATAGCAGGGACCTGGAAGACGAACGCAGGGTAACAGATCATTAATAATATGTATGTATGGTTTTTTTTAAATGGCACTGGAATCTTATTAAGTCTCTGCTTTCAGATTATACAAAAGTTGATGTCCCAGAATCAGTGTCAGAGAGTGAAAAGGGATCAAAAGGCATCCATCTTTACCATGTCCGTTCCCAGGTCGATACAGAGGATGGTGACGGTTCCCAGGGGCAACGGGATGTTGGCACAGATGAAGAGGAGGAAGGGTGTGATCTCAGGGATGTTACTGGTCAGAGTGTAGGCGATGGACTTCTTCAAGTTGTCAAAGATCAGACGGCCTATTGAAGAGAGAAAATCCAGTTATAATGATGCTTCCTGTGTTCTTGTGTTTCTTATAATTCTGCAGGTGTAACTCTTACCTTCTTCTACTCCTGTAACGATGGAGGCAAAGTTGTCGTCCAGCAGGATCATGTCAGCGGCCTGTTTGGAGA